TAATTAAAAACACTTAAACATTCAGCGCCAAACATTTCTCGAAGCGTTCGGCTTCCAGATCGCGCTAGTTGCAACAATAATTACTAATGCTTTTTAAATGTTTTCTTCAATATTATCCAAACATTTAAATTTTAAAAAAAATAACAGAATATAAATTATTTTTCTTATTGTTGTTAATGTTATGTTACTTATATCCTACTTACATTAAGCATGAGCAATCACAAGAATCGGAAAGACAACAAAACAACAACAACATCATCAACAACATCATCAACAACATCAACAAAAACATCAACGACAACAACATTAACAACAACATCATCAATAGCAACAACAACATCAACAAAAATAACATCAACAACAACATTATCACAGCAACAACAACATCAACAACATCATCAACAACCTTAACGACAACGTCATCAAAAGACATCAACAAAGACATTTCATGCAACCCGAACCAACTATATATAATGAAAAATTTTAATCTCAGCGAAAAACTTAAACAAAAATTTCAAACAGACACGTATTCCATGCATCATTACAACAACAACACAACAAAAACAACAGCAACAAATGTTTTAAATCAAAACACAAACAGCATCTACATAAACCTTATTAACATGTCTATATCCACAACATCAACACAAACACCATAAATAACACTAACAAGTATATTTTTATTATTTCACAAAAGTCACACAACAACAACAACAACAACAATGATATTTGCTGTGACAATGGAAGAAAATCCAACATTCAACAACAACAAAGCCAATAATAACTAATTACAATTAACGAAAAAATTATTTAATTAAACAACAAAAATACACTAGAAATTAATTTCTGAAGAAAAACTTACTTGTGCTAACAATAAGCTAAAAAAACTTAATCGAAAAGTTTTTCTTACATACAATGTCGCTATTACAATTGGTCAGATAAATCAACTCTGCTAAAGTCACATACACGCACACAGTTTAGATCATATTAGAAAAAATAACAATAATTATTATTTTATTATATTGCTAAATTAATATTCTTATTATCATAAAATTATGACATACAGATAATAATCAGCTAGTCGTCATTAGTAATAATATGACAGACATTTATCTAATAATCTTTATATATTAAGCAATTAAGCACGCGCGCACACGCGCACGCACACACACGCACAGGCACATATATATATATATTTATAATAGATTTTCTGTTGTTTCGATTCATATTAATATTAGGCAAATATGCAACAAACACACACACGTGCAAGCAATTGACTTTTCGTAAATAAATAATCGAGGTTTGTTGTTGCAACTCATAACAACAAAAATAATAAAAAAATAAATAATACAAATAAGAATGAGAAGAAGAAGAAGAAGAAAGACTACACAATAATAGCAACAATAATAACCTTTTTAATTTTTTTTAGGATTATTTTGTTTGCAATTAAAATTTTTACGACATTAGACATTACGACATTAGTTAGAACGACATTAAGAAAAACAAATAGGCACAAATAATAATGAAATAATAATAATGATAATAATAATAATAATAGTGCTACTACTGCTATTAATAAATTAATGTGATAAACCCAAAAAAAATGTTGACAGAACATTATTGTATCATGTTACGTGAAAATTCATAATAGGATTTTATGATCATTGACGTGTTGTTGACGTATAATTTGTTTGCTGTGTCAAGTATTGTTGGTCTTATTTATTTATCCTTGGCCATTTTGTTTGCATACAAACATTTCAACAAAGAAAAACTTACATATAAACACACATACATACATAGATACAAAAAGTACATACATACACACATACATACCAAAAAAGTATTTTTGATTACGGCAGAGATTGGAAGGTCATGGTCTATTTGAGGTCAAAATCTATTTGAGGGCATGAGGAACCATCCATCGTTCATGAAGGATACAGGAGCGAGACCCGACATGGCGGTACAGTCGGTATCAACAGACACTGTCATTTTAGTCGAACTGACTGTACCTATGAGGCTAATATAGCAGCAAGTCACGTGGTAAAAACAGCCAAGTATGAAGAACTCGTTAGTGAGATAGAACAACGTGGGTTGAGGTGCTTGTTGTACGCAGTTGAGGTTGGTGCAAGAGGTGATGTTTCTGGTTGTTCAGTGTACAGCTTTTTGAAGGGTTTGGGTTTAGTAGGTAAAAGACGATCGAGTTGTATGAAGAACATAGGACCAGCTGAACAAGCGTTTTACTGGATATGGTTATGTAGGAAGAAAAGGGAATGCGAGTTTAAATAGTTAACAGATGAGCTTGTTTGCACGTAAGGCTTCCGATTATTCAACATTCCCAAACTCGGCTTAGCGTGTTACTTGGCTTGTCGATATAACTCACATCGTAATATGTTCATATGTGAACTGTCTGGCACGCCAACGCAAATTTTCAGTATAAAAAGAGGTGATTTCAAGGAAGGCAAATTGCGTGTTCGGCAAGAGACATCCAACTGATCTCTGGATGTGGCCCTGTTTTTCGATAGTATTAGGAATTCAAAGTGCCGAAACACTCGTTGACGGAAACTCTTCCTCCGATACATACATATACACACACAAAAAGCAAACATGCAAACACAGAAGCCTACAAACAAACAAATAGAGATACGTACAAATATACATACATATATACATACAAGAAAACAAACAAATAAACATACAAACAAATATACATGCGTACAAACAAATTTACATACAGACTTACAAACGTACATACAAACGTTTCAAATTTATGTCACTCAAATGCACGTGACAGGTAGTTGTAGAATTTAAACTAAAAGAAAATATTTTTTTCAAGTGAACAAACAGGTTTTCAAATCAACATCGTCGTCGTCGTCACCATTTAATCATCATCAACATTATCATCATCATCATCATCATCATCACTCTTCTTAGCAACATCATCATCATATTTATCATTGACGATCTTGTCATATTCAACTTTACAACAAACCACCATTTATTATCTTAATCACTGTCATCGTCACCACAATCTTTGTTATCAGTACCAATATCATCATCATCATCATCATCGTCATCATCGCCGTCGTCGTCATCACCATCATCATCGTCATTGTCGCCACTATCATAACCGACATTATCCTCTTCTTTGTCATCATCATCATCGTCGTCATCATTCATACAACCATCTTGACGTCATAGTTATCATTCCGCCGTTGTATTAGCAGCAGCAGTAGTAGTAGCAGCAAAATTGGAGCAAAGTAGTAGTAAAAATTGCATTAAAATTAGTAGTAGAAATATAACAAGTATTATTTTAACTTAAGCAGTACACTAAAAATATGTGATGATAATGATAATATTTGTAATAATAATAATAACAATAATAAAATTTATTATTATTATAAATAATTCCCTTTATGCTGAATATCGTAGCGACTTTCCATGCATTCTATTATTATTCATCTCACTGAGTAAACACTTGAGATAACTTCAAAGACTTCGCCGATTATTTTTAATTTACATAATTTTTTGTTTGTTTGTTTGTGTGTATGTATGTATGTTTCTTTGTATGTTTGGTTTGTTCGTTTTTCTCTGTTAGTTTGTTTGTATGTTTAATTGCACGCGTGTTCGGTTGGTACATATGTGTGATTGTAAGTGGGTTTTTATGAGTATTTATATATATACATATTTGTTTGCTTGTAGGATTGTTTGTTTTTTAAATGTTTGTATGTCTGCTTGTATGTTTGTATTAAAGTATATATAAACGTTTGTTTGTCTCTATGTTTGTCTTTTACAGTGTTTGTATATTTTAATGTTCGGCAAACAATTTCATCTTTGTAAATCTGTACATTTTTCTGATTGTTTGTTTGGGTATCTTGTATTTGCAAATATTATGACAAAAATTATGTGTATTTTTTATGTGTTTCATTGTGTGTATTATTACGCAAAATTGAAAAAAAAACTTTGTATACAAACTGTCTAATAATGTTACGACTTTGATTAACCAACACATCTGTATCATGAAAATGTAGAAAAGTAGATTATTGAATTATCGCGTTGATAATTGATATAACTCTTAAAAATAATCTATCTAAAATTATAGTTTGTTATAAAAATAATTAAAATTGTTAATTAATATGTTGAAATATTATTATAACTAATTGGTTAAATTAATTAGACGTCTATTAGCACAAAACTAAAATGTTGAAAGTTCAAAATCTGGCTGTCGGCGAATGTAAACTTTGAGTGGCTGGTGATTTAATAAGTCATCACCCGCGTTTATACTGTAACATCAAGACTAACATAGCATAATCAGATGCAATAATTCTTTTGAAACAAAATAAAATTACACAAAATATGAAAACTTTTGAACAGGAAAAAATATTTATCGACAAATGATTTATGGTTATTAATGTATCTAATAACACAATACATTTAAAACAAATATAAACAGATAAATCAAACGAGCGTACACGCCATAGCGAGATGGCGTAGCGAGTTAAGATGCTTTGAATTGTTGTTGCAGTTACCAGGTTCAAAAACAAAGAAACGCTTATCATATGCTATAGATGCAGGCTCTGCATTAGACTTAGGCATAGACAGAGGCGGACTAGGCAACCGCCTACGGCGGCACTTTTCAGAGGTACATTTTCTCAAATTTGTACGAATTAATTTTTTTCATTTTTAAGTTTTTAATATGCTCACATATACTTCCATTCGTTAGTTAAAAAATTTTTAGTAAATGCGTATCATAAATTAAGAAATGAAATGTCAACACATTGCAAATAAATATTGAATTGGAATTGGTCGTTAAAATGATAGAAGCGCGCACGTTTTGGGAGATTTGATTGTTGGGAGAAAAATTTTTTTGGAGATAAAAAGCTTTTGGTTTTACTCAAAATAATTATTTGAGAAACAAAAAGTGCTTGCCTTTCAAAATTTGGCTCCTATTATTTCAACACAAAAAAGAGAGTTTAGCAAAGGACAAAAGACCTCTAAGTTTTTCAAAGTAATCCATAAGTTCTTAGTGGTTCTTTGGATAGTTCCATTCCAAATATGGCCATGTTATAAAACTTATCCAAACTGAATTTCATCCTATCCAAGATTTCAAATAGCTCCAGATCATCTGCTTAGTTTAGTTGTTAATTTTAGTCAAGACAGAAATTAATTGAAATCAATAATTTCTTGTTGCATCTTTTGATATAAGCAAACTTTATTAAATTATAATTTTGTTTTAAAATAAATTTTCTAATGAGAATATAATAAAACCTAAATATTCAACAATTGTTCTTCTATAAAATTGAGATCACACGGGGCGGCTAATTCGCAAACCCTCCACACGCAAAAATCATATAGATTCGAACCTGTCTGGGTGTTTGTTTGAAACTCACTACAATTCCCGCACAAAGAAATCCATGTGCGTTTTTCCGGTATTTTAAGAATAAATTAAGAAATATCTAATAATTTTAATGACAACAAACACAAAAACGCACTTACACGTCCACACACCACACACACGTACACACACATACACACAGAGAAACACACACAAGTACACACAGAAACACACACACGCACGTTAATATGTATATTTGTATTGGTGTATTGTACGACTGTCGCAAAGTTTGCTACGTTTATATTATTCACACAAGTTTAAAAAAAAATTGTCATACAAAAAAAAAGAACATAAATTTTTCGACATGACGAGAGAGTGAATTTCAAAATTTTACTCTTCTCCCTAAGGTGTCGCAATTTCTATGTGTGACTTTCGCTTTCATGAAAGCCTTCACACATTTGTATAGAAGTTGTATATACATGCATACATACAAGCATGCAAACATACATACATACAAACATACATACATACATACATACATACATACATACATACATACATACATACATACATACATAATGAAAAAATATGGGAATGCCCTACCCTCGATGGAATTCTTGCCAATATGCATCGAGGTTCTCGGCCCGATGGACCCCAATACCCTTAAATTTCTTAAGGAAATAGGCAAAAAGATCAGTGTCAGATCAGGTGACAGCAGGGAACTGTTTTTTGCAACCAACCACATTTCGTGCTTGTTGCAGCGGTTCCTGCGTGTCTGTGTGCTTGAAAATATCCAACTGAATGCCGACATGTGCAATTAACGACAAATCAAAGTGTTAATCCATTCGTTACTTGATGTTTGACGGTTCAGTGTCACTCATCATGTTTTGGTTTTAACATACATACATACATACATACATACACACATACATACATACATACATACATACATACATACATACACACACACATCCAGAGCTTAAATTCGCCCTGGGTCGTGTTTCCTGTCTTTCGGCCGATGATGCCTTGACTAATATCCGCAATGCCCTCAGTTTGCCCAAATTGATGTACTTCCTACGTACATCCAAACACATTGACCCTTCTAAATTGGGCGAATTTGACGGAGCCCTGCGCACCGCCCTGTCGTCGATTTGCAATGTTCAAGTGACCGACAGTGGTTGGTCCCAGGCTCAGCTGCCGGAGCGATTTGGTGGGCTGGGGTTGCTGGCTCTCGTTGTTTATAATTCTTCTGCCGCTGCCACTCTTGACCTGCAGTCTTCCCTGCTCCACCGGTTTTTTCGTTGCCGCAATATTCTTCCCCCAGTGTCCGCCCCGGGGGACCGTACGCACGTCCAAATTTTGAACGAAGAATATAAAAGATCTTTCAAAATTTGTTGTCTTCATGCGGCGACGACTTTTCCACCGCTCGTTTGTTGGCCATGTCCAGCGTTGCCAGCTGTGGGTGGTTGAGATCGTGGCCCAACACCTCTGTGGGCACCAGGCTTGACGACGGGTCTGTGAGATTTGCCATTGGCTTCAGACTTGGCCTGGTCATTCAGAATAAATACACGTGCCGATGTGGCGCAGGGGCGGACGAGTTTGGTCACCACGGTTTGGTTTGTCGCCTGGGTGGGGGCCGTCAACTACGTCACTCAGCGCTAAACGAATACATTTGTCGGCTCTTCTCCAAGGTTTCAATCCCGGTTCTCAAGGAACCATCCGGCATTTCTGCGCATGATGGTAGGCGCCCGGACGGATGCACACTAATACCTTGGAGAGCCGGCAGATGTTTGGCGTGGGATGTTACGGTCCCTGGCACCCTCGCCGAATGATACGTAAACCTGACAAGTAAAGAATGCGGTTTGGCCGCGGCCAGGGCAGCGGACGAGAAAATGAAAAATTATGGGAACGCCCTCGATGGAATTCTTGCCAATATGTATCGAGGTTCTCGGCCCAATGGACCCCAACACCCTTAAAATTCTTAAGGCAATATGCAAAATGATCAGTGTCAGATCAGGCGACAGCAGGGAACTGTTTTTCGCAACTAACCACATTTCGTGCTTGTTGCAGCGGTTCCTGCGTGTCTGTGTGCTTGAAAATATCCAACTGAATGCCGACATGTGCAATTAACGACAAATCAAAGTGTTAATCCATTTGTTACTTGATGTTTGTCGGTTCAGTGTCACTCATCATGTTTTGGTTTTAACATACATACACACATACGTTAATACACGTAAAACACAAAAGCATACAAACCTCAGTACCATTTCACATAAACATAGAAATATGACAGATTGCTTGCTTGCAAAAGCGCTACATAATTTATTACCACCATTGCTTACGTCATCGTCGTCGTCACCATCCTCTAAACATCATTCATTATTAAAATGTTTTGCCATTTTTATTGCAAGTAGACGTCATTTCGAATTTTGTTATTAGCTAGGTAAGCACATTCATCAACGTCATCGTCATCACCCTCATCATCATTACAATCATCATCGCCATCATCATCGCCATCATCATTGCCATCGTCATCCCCATCGTCATCATAATTACTAACACCACAATCATATTTCTTTTGTTGACATCATCACATCATCATTAACTATCATCATCAAAATCGTCACCATTATCAACATTGTATCGTCAAAATCGTTACCAACATTATCACCAACACGCCACCACACCCACCACAGCGTAGAGAAGCATGAGCAGAAAGGAAAAAGGACATTGAATGATGACGTCACTTCATTAGGAGTGCCACGTAACTGAGAAGGTATAAATAACCAGAAGACTGTAAATAATACGTCAGTGTCTGCGCATGCTAAGCATAAATATTTACTACACGCACACACACACACACACAAGCACACACAGACACACACACACACAAACTTAACATTGCAATGTTTTTTTCACTAAATTTCTTTTTTTTTTGAAAAATTTATGTGACGATGTGTTTTATGCTCGATATTTTTTTTGTTTTCCACAGGAATAATAATTGGTGAACGTCGTCCAATCACTACTCTGATTATGTATGTTTATTTCGCATTTGTATATTTCGTATTTAAACATGTATGTGTGTTTGTGTGTGTGTGTGTGTGTGTGTGTGTGTGTGTTTACGTTCATGTCATTGTGTGTTTGTAAATAAATTTGTGTTTTTATGTGTTTATATTCATATGTTTGTATGTTTATTATTGTTTTTTGTATGTTTGCTTGTGTATGTCTCTGACGGTTTGTTTATACTAACATTCATGTACTGTATGTGTCCGTGTGTATGTTTGCATGTACGTGTTTGCATGTTTGCATTTGTTTCTGTGTGCGTTTCTAATGTCTTATAATGATATAGAATTTTATTAATTGTCTCTGAGAGTTGAGTCATTCGTCTGACAAATCCCAGTCGTGCATCTCTCATACTTCGTACATCAATCCTCCAAATTCTTCTGAAATTTTACTATTAAAATCCCTTGCAACATCATCCTCAATTTTATCACTATCATCGTCGTAATCATCATCGCCGTCGTCGTTATCATCACTTTTGCTTTATTAACCTCTTCCTTTGTCATCCCTTTCATCATCATTATCAAAATGTTCGTTCGTCTTCAATAAAAACAACACACCATCACCAGAATCATTCGCATCACCATCACCATCGTCGTCATCATCTTTGACGTCATCATCATTTCCATTATTTTTTATCTTTTAATATAATCATCATCATTATCAT